TGCCAGTAACCAGTCCACACAAACAAGCAAAGCCCCATCCATGGGATGCAGGCAGCACACAAAACCACGCATCCTCCAGTCCGTGGAAAAACCTCTCTTCACGGAACCGGTTCCTGGTACCCAAAAGGTTGGGGACCTCTGATCTATACAAATAATAAAGGTGGGATGTAAATAAATAAAAACAAACAAACAAACAAACATTAAAGCCTAGCCCTTCACATAGGACTTCTTTGTCTGAATCTTAGGCAAGTGGTACTTATTTTTAGTGGGGGGTCTTTTGCATTCTTGTAATGTAGTAGTTCCATTGTAAGCCAGCTCAATTTAATATATTAAGAATCGGTTTACAAACCCACACAACCATAATATATCCTGTTCTTCTAAAATCATGAAGAATGAAATACCTGGGCATAAAAGGAATCTCACTGTGCATGTAAATTGGAGCAGCCCTCCAAGAGACTGCATTAGCCGTGCACTTCTAACACTTTTTTACATTCCTGAATTAAAGGCAGTGTTTCCAGTTTGGAGTGCTTAACAAAAGAAGTCTCTTGTTATGAGGGGGTCAAGAGAGGGGCATTTTTAAGAGGAACATTTTGCAAAATGAGCTGCTCCTTATAAAACTAAAAAAAAAGGTGTTATTTGATTATAAGGAGCTTGCTGATTGACTTGAAAGAAAAAAAAAAACACTTTCAGTTAATGTAATCCTGGCTTTCCTTACGTAATACAATTGATTGGTCTCCACACATGGAACCATAAGCTAGCCACTTTCTTCTGTACTATCACATGAATACAGGTAGTCCTCGACTTATGACCACAATTGAGCTCAAAATTTCTATTGTTAAGCGAGACATTTGTTAAGTGAATTTTGCCCCATTTTATAACCTTCCTTGCCAGAGTTGTTAAGTGAATCACTGCAAATGTTAACTTAGTAACATGGTTGTTAAGTGAACCTGCCTTCCCCATTAACTTTACTTGTCAGAAGGTCGCAAAAGGTGATCAAATGACCCCAGGACACTGCAACCGTCATAAATATGAGTCAGCTGCCAAGCATCAGAATTTTGATCATGTGACCATGGGGATGCGGCAATGGTCGTACGTGTGAAAAATGGTCATAAGTCACTTTTTCCAGTGCTGTTGTAGCTTCAAACGGTCACTAAATGAACTGTTGTAACTCAAGGACTATTTGTAATAAATACAAATATAAATAAAATTACTGATTCTTGGTAACTTCCTGAATTAATCCCTGCAGCTTTTTTTTTTGGCAAGATTTTCAGAAGTGGCTTGCCCTTGCCTCCTTCCTGGGGCTGAGACAGAGTGACTGGCCCAAATCACCCAGCTGGCCTCCTGCCCAATGCTAGTCTAAAACTCACATTTTCCCAGTTTCTAGTCCAGTGCCTTAACCGCTGCATCAAACTAGGGCTGGCTAATTTATCCTTTGGTGTGACATGTGGCTATAATCACAGTGAATATTTGCATCTGCACACAGCCCTTCACTTCCCTAGCATAAACAGAGATCTTCCTGTCTTGATCTCTGTACTCCACGCTCAGAAAAATGGCTAAATAATTGTGCTTGATTGGAGAAATACAGATTAACTTATGTTTGAAGGCATAAATCACTTTTAAAGAGGAAAAAAGCAATGTTCCTTCTTGGTACTGCCTACATTAGGAGTGTCCAACTTTGACACCTTTAAGACCTGTGGATTTCACAGGGAATTCTGGGAGTTGAAGTCCACAGGGCTTAAAGTTGCTAAGTTTGGACTGACCTACATCATACTATTTTTTTAAAGATTTAGAACTGGCTGTCCTATTAATTTCCTATGGGACTGATTTCTAGCCAAAAAGGTTAGCCTCTCAATAATGCTATTTAGAAATAATGGATACATTACTTATGTTGGACAGCACTGCAATTCCTTGGCTCTCTCACTACCGTTTGGGTTTTCTCAAGTGTTCTGTATTGGATTATGGTAATTAGATGAAAGAAGAACATGGATTCTTTTGTTTTTAATTATCCAACAGTGGGAATTTTTGTAGATGCAATGGGGAAAAATATACCCTGCAATTCCTTTTCTCTTAAAATAAACTAGATTGAGGCAGACACTGATGAGGGAAAGTGTATTTCTTTGTTATGGCTGAGTAATACAACTTTTGAATTAGAACCATTTAGAAACAATGCATTGAATAACAACAATGGAAGCAGGAGAAGCAACAGCTAATGTTTACTTGAAGGCCTTGGTGTCTTTGAATTTCAAAGCTGTCTAAGAAGATCAAGGCTCTTTGCATATGCCCAGAGGTTCTATTAATAGAGCAAGCAGGTGCAACAAGAGAGAAAAATATAGTATTTTGATAGTTATACCACAAGAGGCTTGCATGAATTCAGTAGGAGAACACACACCCTCTATTACAGGCTGCAGAAGTACGACTAGTCCCCAACTTACAACAGTTCACTTAGTGATTGTTTGAAATAACAACGGCACTGAAAAAAGTCCCTTCTGACCATTTTTCACACTTAGGACCATTGCAGCATCCCCATGGTCACGTGATCAAAATTCGGACGCTTGGCAATTGACTCATATTTATGACGGTTGCAGTGGTCCAGGGTCATGTGATCCCTTTTGCGACCTTCTCACAAGCAAAGTGTCAAGGGGGAAACCAGAGTCACTTAACAATCATCTTTCTAACAACTTCAGTGATTTACTTAACAAATGTGGCAAGGAAAGTTGTAAAATAGGGCAAAGTTCAGTTAACAAATGTCTCGCTTAGCAACAGAAAATTTGGGCCCCATGCTGGCTGGAGAATTCTGGGAGTTGAAGTCCACAAGTCTTAAAATGGTCACGTTTGAGGACCCCTGCACTATAGTATGAAGCTGGGCGTGATGGTAGCCATCTGGAAGCCATCTGGATGTGGGGAAGTCTTATTAAAGCTTTCTTCAAGTGAAGGAACTGGGCCTAATTTACTGGAAAAGAGGAAGATTAGAGGCATGATATTAGTCTTCAGCTATTGATACTGTACTGTCTTAGAAAGGATGAAGTTGATTTGATTTCTGTTGCTCCTCAGTATAGGATTAGTATAGGATTAGTACCAACAGAAAGAAATACTAGGGAGGCAGGTTTCATCACAACACTGAAAGCACTTAATGATAAGAAATGTACAAGAGTGAGACAGGCAATTACAGAGATTTCAGGAAATGGAATACAAATTTGTTGTAGTAACACTTACAAGTATAGGACTCCTGTAGACATTCAGTCACTGCTCTGCGATAAAGCTAACCCACTCTCAATTTTGGGGAAAGTGAAAATGGGAAGGGGAAGAGATATAGAAAGAACATAGGCCGCCCTCAGTTCCAAAGGGAAAGGATGATAGTCAAAAATATCTATCGCAGTTCTGCCATTTCTCCTTTTGTATCTGGTCAGTGAACTTGTATTGCTTTTGCTCTATATACATGTTTAATAAGGGAGGAAAGGAGTGTATGTAAAATTTATTCTACTCCCAAATTGATTTCTCTTCCTAGAATTTTACTGGATGTCCATAATCCTCTCTATCATAGCCGAATCCCTCTATTGTCTTCCTTTACACTCTGGTATTTAACACAGGTCAGCACAGAAAAGCCTTCCTTCTAAATTATTTCTGATTTGTACAATATACTTTTTGGACTAAAATATGATTGATGAGTTTGTAGCTCCAAGTATGGTACAAACCAAAGCTGTGCTTCTTCCCTGACCTGATGGAGCCCAACTCCCGTAATTCCCAACCAGTTACAGTCCCAAGCTGTGCTTCTTCCCTGACATGGAGTCTAACTCCCATAATTCCCAACCAGTTCAGATATTCTGAGTCTATGTCACGTTCTTTTGAGATCTATACACTGGTCCTTATTATATGGAAACAGAACAGGAGAAGGGGTAACAATGCAAATGAATCTTTTAAAGCTATTTAGGTACCTATAGACTAAGCCATTGTGCCTATTAATAGGAACAACATTCTTGCTACTAAAATGTACAAGGTATGGGAATCTGCATTTGAAAGATAGGCAATCAAGAATATTTTTAAGCAATGCATTCTTAGCTCTAAAAGCCTATTTAATTAGCAGTATATCCCACTAAATAAGTTTCACTAAATAAGTCCCAAGTAAAAATGCATAGGTTTGAGTCTTTATAAACCATAAAAGCTAATATGTGAGCTCATTGAAATAATCTATACTGAGAGAAATTTATATAGAGAAATATTTTGCTAAAGTCCACAATTTAAAGTTTTAATGTTGAATGATTATTCATGATGGAACAGTGAGCCTGCAGCTGTAAATTTTGATACTCTTGGAAATGAGGCATATTTCTTTTTGTGTCAAGGGACCTATAGATAAATTTAAGATTCATGAACCAACTTATTAAGCCTGTGCTTAACTTTAACTTATAGGATTACACTGTTACCTGTGTGTTAAGAAAATTGTAGTGTTTCAAGTGGTTATTGCATTTTAAGTGAACTCCATTGAACATTCTTGGGATTTTATTTTAGCGTATCTAAGCGATCATATCATTTGGCATACAAGAGAAAATGAATTGGAAAGTTAAAAAATGCTGTTTTTCAGCAGCAATTCCCCTTTTAAATTATGCTCTTAACATTTAATTGACGCTTTAGGAACATCAGGATGTGTGCACAGCCATATAAATATGTCAGGTGATTTTTTGGCTTAAATTTAGCCAAGGCACAAGAACCTTTGGGCATTGATACAGAACAACTCTTAAAACTCCCAAGCACACAAAATGTATTGATTGTGTATGTATTGATTGCTTACTCCTATTTGAGTCCTATTTGAGTCCTATTTGAGTTTTTGAGTTATTATGTATATATTCAAGAGACCTGGAATGTAGATTTGATATCAAAGCCCAAGAAAACCTGTACATATTGTTGAAACATCCCAGAGTTATTTCTTATCAAAACCTACTGACAAAAGTATTACCTTTTTGTATTGTTTCTGCCTTAGTTTGCCAACTTTAAGATGCACACTCAGATCAAATATATATATAATTTTATTACTAAATCAAAAGCAACAGGTATAAATCAAATGAAGCTTGTTTTTCACAAAGTGACATACAGGCATAATTATATCATTTGTTCAGATACAATAAACATGCATACTTCACTTACTTTATTACACAGAAATCCTATGCACGTTTAATTGGAAGTCAAGTATGATTGAAATTTATTCACAAAGCAACATTTAACAGAAGGCAACCATCTTAACAATGCAAATGTACAGATCCATGAGAACCTGTGAAAAAGAGGAATTTTAGTTTAAACTATGGCCTGACATTTACTCACAAAAACATGTAACAGAAGGCAACCATCTTAACAATGCAAATATATAGATCCGTGAGAACCTGTGGATGAAAACAAAGGAAAACAGATTTTAAAGTATGGGTATGACTTTATAACATGTAACAGAAGTGAGATTTATTCACAAAATATGTAATAGAAGGTAACCATCTTAAAAATGCAAATTATACAAATCCATGAGAAGCTGTGGATGAAAACAGATTTTACAGGCTGGAATGCAGTTAACATGACATTTCCTGGTATCTAAAAGTTCTTACTAACACCTCTTAGAGAGGTTTTAAGACACAACACAACATACAACAGAAGGCAACACCACAACACAACACACAACAGAATGCAACTATCTTAAGATTGCAAATGTACAGATTCTTAAATGAAGTGCAGCCATAGAATTTATTTTTGTGACTAGCACTTTACTAAACTCCTTTTGTTTCTTACCCATTTTCTAGGATCATTTTCTCCAGAACTGCAGTCTGTCGCCTAAAAATAAAAATAAAGTCAGTTACAATATAATAAGGGTCACATTATAAATTCCATGACAACCTGTGGATGAAAACAGGAAAAATGGGTTTTGCAAACTGGGATGATAACATGACACTTCCTGGTATCCACAAGTTCTTGCTAACACTTCTTGCTTCTAGCAGCTGTAAGAGAAAGAGGGAGGAAAAACAACCAAAAATATAATTTTTCCATCTGGGTATGCCCTCCCGGGAGTAGCTGCTGCATTCTACTCCTTACCCCGTTTAAAAGCAAACCTTAACACCACATTTTTCCAAGCCAAGCCTGAACTATTTAGCTAGGCTTCAAAAATCTCATTGTAAGCAGAATACTTCAGCATGGATCAACTCACCAACATTGACAAAAACTGGAGACCCGATCGGTAGAGCTGGGATCAATCTCGCGGCTTGCTTCCTTGAAAGGTTTTCAATCTCACTTGGGAATGCAGCTGAAGGCGGCCTCTCGCCAGGGCGATGCCACACTCCATCGCCCCATTTTCCCATGCCTTATGCCTCTTTAAATTCGAACTATCAAAGAAGTATATGCATAGGAAAAAGGAACGACGAGCAGAAATTAACGCAATCCGGCTCCTCCGGACGACGGAAGGCAGGCTAAGCTAAAAGGTAATGAGGAAAGAAAAATAAAAGTAAATCAGGCATGAGCTGCCAGGCATCGCCAGCGGATCCAAAAAAGTTTTCCCCGACTTTTCCTTTGCTGCTTTTGGCCACAGCAGCTCCCAAGCCCCGAGGAACAAAGGGGGGTAACTACTCACCAGTTGCTGGTTCAATTGCTGCAAAACCTGCAAAAGAGAACAAAAAGCAAATGAGAGTTGCTGGACTCCCCAGCCAGGGAGACCTTTTAACTCCAATCGTAGCTTTATGATTAAAAGCTAGAAGGGGGGGGGGGGGGAAAGCCCAGTTGGGCCTAAGTGTCCAATGCAAAGCAGGGCTTACCTGGTGAGCTCTCTGGGATCCCGAGTGCTCCGGAGGGCTTTCTCTCCGCATTTATGCTAGTTCAAGACCTTGAAGCTACGTTAGCAAAGACAGTTGTTGCTGTTTTCTCAAGTGCTAATCAGCCTGCCCCTCGCCAAGGCTTCGTAAGCCGCACCTGCAAGATACTAAAGTTTCGCTTAGCAAAAAGGGCTGGAAAGTATCCCTTTTGCGGGCAGGACGGGGGACGGGCGGGAGGGGGCTGATAGGGGCATCGCCTGAGGAGGCCGGTTATCGCTTGTTCTGCTCCCACTGCCGTCAGAGATTGGCACGAATGTTAGACAAGCGAAGAGACAGTTCTACCCTGGGAAGAGTTACTTTTCCCCCCCCACCACTACCAAAAGGCGTTTTTTAAAAAAATTCACAAAGCCATCTATCAAGATAACTTTCAAGGCTGTAGGCCTAGCTCTCCATCAGCTTCTTTGTATTGGCAAAAGTCTTTTAGGTTCAATTCTCCAAGAAAAAAAAAAAAAGCAAGCAACTTATTTTCTTCTGCTGTGCTATTTTTTAAACACAAAAAAGAGAGAGATGCCTCTTAACAGCTTGTGTCATCATTTCTCTCAGTTTAGTTGTCCTTTGGGGTAACCTGGTCCCTAATTCATATTCACTGAAGATGAAATCTTCACTATGTTTATAATCAGATCTTTAAAAAATGATGCAGTTTCCCCAATAATTGCATCAAAGAGCTGCCATTGTTGGTTGTTGTCAAAAATGTTTAACTTTTCCTGCCTTATCCTTCAAACCACAGGCTGGACCAGGGATGAAAAGACAGATGAGGCCTAGCCAATGTAATGAAAATAAAACATTTTTATAGTTAAATATAGTTAATATGAGTATTTCTCCAGCTTTCTTCTGTGCCAATGTAAATTTTCAGTAAAGTATTCTACTCTTGGTAAAATCATGTCCTAGGAATTTCTTTTTCTGGAAATGCCAACTGGACAGTTGACAGGTATTTCATAATGCTCAAGGTAGTGTACTTAGCACTCTCTTTTACTATCTTTCCCCTCAACAACCCTGCAAGATGGTCAGTAAATTTATGTGACTGCGGGTTGATTTAGGTCTGGATCTGAGCCGAGGTGGCGCAGCAGTTAGAGTGCAGTACTGCAGGCCACTTTAGCTGACTGTGTTCAGCAGGTCAGTGGTTCAAATCTCACCGGCTCAAGGTTGACTCAGCCTTCCATCCTTCCGGGGTAGGTAAAATGAGGACCCAGATTGTTGGGAGCAATGTAAATATATATATATATATATATACATTGCTTACTGGTGTACACCGCTTAGAGAGTGCTTGCACTTAAAAAGCGGTATATAAGTCTCATAAATGAATAAATAAATAAATCTTCCTGCTCTTTATCTAGTATTTCTCAAACTAGGCAACTTTAAGACATATGACCTTCAAACCCCAGATTTCCCCAACTCGGATGGCTGATTGGGGAATTCTGAGGGTTGAAGTCCACACATCTACAAGTTGCCAAGGATGAGAAATACTGTAGTCTTACACTTTGGCAATTGGCTTTAATTCTTAGAGGGGCTTTGAGAATATTTGTGGAGGATGTAAAATGATGGCCAAATGCAATCACTGCACTCTGGTAGAGAGAATAATGGCTGGCTTCACATACTGCAGCAATCCATGATTTAATTGTATTGCTGTATTTACTCATCTGAGTTCTACAATGCATAAAAATCAAACTATAGTACAATATTTGGACATTATACAGTCTATAAGGGTTTCTTTTTAAGGAGGAACTTCCTGATAGTGAGGACAATCAACCAGTGGAACAGCTTACCCCCAGAAATAGTGGGCGCTCCATCACTGGAGATTTTTAAGAAGAGACTAGACATTCACCTGTTTGAGATGGTATAGGTTCTCTTGCTTGAGCAGGGAGCTGGACTAGAAGATCTCCAAGGTCCCTTCCAGATTCTACTCTGCTCTGCTCTACTCTATCTACTCTACTCTATTGACACTGAATAAGAAGAGACAGTGAGAAAGGGGCTGTTCCATCCAGTGCAGTCCCCCAAATATTAGTCCTCCAAGAAAAGATTGAGCATCTGGGAACAGACCTTATAAATATATATTTCCATTCAAATAAAAGCAACTGAAACACATGTCTGAGTAAATGAATAAATACTCTATTAAATTAGGCTGCATGTACACCTTGTGGTAAATTGTGCTGAAAATACCAAATTTATATTCCACCGTTCTCCAACAAACCTGAACATTTCTCCCTCCTGTTTTATTTACAACACCTCTGCAATGTAGGTTAAGGTTGCTCATTTTTCATTACAGGTAGTCCTCAACTTACAAACATTTGTTTAGTGATCATTTAGTGACAGTTACAACAACACTGAAAAAAGTAACTCCTAACCAGTTCTCAAGCTTCGATCATTGCAGCATCCCCATAGTCACGTGATCAAAATTTGAGTGCTTGGCAACTGACATGTGTTTAGGACAGTGGCCAGGCCTGGGGTCCTGTGATCACTGTTTGTGACCTTCCAAGCTGGATTCTGACAAGCAAAGTTAAAGGGGGAAGCCAGATTCACTTCACAACCATATGACTTACTTCACAATTGCAGTGATTAATAATTGTGGCTAGAAAGTTGTAAAATGGGCCACAGCTCATTTAACAACTCCCTTCTTAGCAACTGAAAATGTTGGACACAATTGTGATCATAAATCCATGACTATCTGTATTCATCAGTGACGCAAAGTATGAAAGAGGGAGATCAAAACACAGACTGATTTTACAGCACCAATTAAGAAATGTCAGGCCTCTCCTTTAATTTACTGTTGAGACCTTTTCTGATGCTGTCAAGAAACTAGATTCTTACAATGCCAGCCTTGTGATTTGGGGGAAAATCTTGGCTGGTTCACACCTAACATTAAAGAACAAGATGTAGTTTCTTTATTTAGGACAGTATGGTAATTGCAGGAAAGTTATTATATGCACAATGATGGAGAAATACTGAAATATCCACAATGGAGGGGTTGGTAAAGATGGCAGAAATGGTAAAACTGACATGACTAGTCAAAGATAAAGCAATCAGTACTTTCATAAAGGCCTGGAAACCTTTATGGATTGAAAATGGAAAAGAGTGAATGATTATTTGTAGATTCAATGATTGAAAAAGGATTAAATAAAGCGCTGAAGCAATTTTTATAATATGAAAGTGGGAAGAAGGATAATAAGTAGGTTTGTACAGTAACTTCTGAAAAGGATGGAAGCCATTTATTTTTTTCTGGTTTTGTTTTTTTTAATTATCTCTTTCTTTTACTGTATTGATTTCTGCACATTTCCTTTTCCCTCTTTTTCTTATTATATTGTTTATATTTTTCTTTATGCATTTTAATATTTGCCTTTATCTATGTCAAAGTTAACACAAATTATATATATATATAATTAAGAGAATATGTGAACCCAGTTTTTACTTTCCTCTAGTTCTTCACTTTCTATTGCTCGGCTGAATTTTCCTCCTTTTTGAAAAAAATGTTTATATTTTTTCATGCTCTTCAGTGTGCATGTATACTCATATTTCTCATGCCCCTTTGGGTCATCCTACATGAATATATTTTGCTTACTTTAACTCCTTGAGATTTATTACTAGAAAGATAGTTAAAGAATTTATCTTATAAAATAATCCTGTGTTTCTACTTAAAAGTACATCCCACTGTGCTTGGTTTGCATTGATTCACGTAAAAATGTATCCTGGCATCAAGTCCTCATCTTGTACAATTTATCAAGATAGTATCCGGTTAAAAGAAGAAAAGATGGAAGAGGGAGAAGCATACTTGTTTTTTTTCAAAACAAAAGGTGGCACATTTTTTTTTTTAAAAGGACCAATGTTACAAGGTTTGTAAGATTACTGATAAAGCTGCACAATCTCATATATAGGTAGTCCTTGACCTATAAGTACAATTTAGCCCAAAATTTATGTTGCTAAGTGAAACATTTGTTAAATGAGTTTTGTCCCATTTTACAACCTTTCTTGCCACAATTGTTAAGTGAATCACTGCAGTGGTTAAGTTAGTAACATGGTTGTTAAGTGAATTTGGCTTCCCCACTGTCAGAAGCTCGCAAAAGCTGATCACATGACCCCGGGACACTGCAACCGTCATTAAATATGAACCAGTTGCAAAGCATCCGAATTTGGCTCACATGACTAAGAGGATGCTGCAATGGTTGTAAATAAGAAAAATAGTCATAATCACTTTTTTCAGTGTCGTTGAACTGTTGTAAGTCAAGATTACCTGTATTGGCATTTGTTGTGGTATATCCCATCTCTCAGGGCAGCATAGATAGCACTTTCTCCTCTATATTCTCTGTAAAACAACAGCCCTGTGAAGTGGTAAGTTGGACTGAGAGAAAGTCTTTGGTCTGTAGTCATCCAGTAAATTTTGATGGCTAAGGTTTGAATCCGGGTTCCTCCAGTCTTCATCCAACACTAATTTTTACAGAAATTCTGTTTGGAAGGGCTGGGCAAGGGACACACCACCATTCAGACATGGCAAGTCAAAAGTAGAATGGGAATAGAGACAAAAAGACCCGCTGTGTATGTACGGATATATGTATTTATGTAATTTATGTAGCTGTCCAACTTGCAAATTGTAGCCTGGAGTGGCTATCATAAAAATGAAGCAAAGAAGCATAAATGAAGGAAGGTAATAAATCCACAAAACCACAACATAAAACAACACAGAGGCCAAACCCAAACTGTCCAATAACCCAAACTATTTAGCAGACAGTCTTGCCCAGTATTCTGGCCCAATGACCGGGGAAAAAATCCAAACCATACACAAGGCCAACAGGTCTCTGGGGTATGCTATTCTGAAGGACATGTCTCAGATGACTTTGCTTCATAAAGGGAGCCTCAAGAGTACCCATTATGCTGAATCTCATGGGATGGGCAGATACAATCAGAAACAGGTGGTCTCTCAAATAATCTTGACTCTGTGGCATGAAAGACTTTATAGGTGATAACTAGCACTTGAATTGCACGTGGAAGACTAAAGACAGTACAGTTCATGAAGTTGAGCTGTTAGATGGGTCTCCTGAAAGTGCAATCATCAGTACCTATGTTACTGCATTCTGGA